GTATATTTTATGCGTACTCGTTTTAACAGCTTATGAGTGTTTACGCTCGCATAAACATTTAATGACCAGACTAACTTCCCGATTATTACTTCCCTTTGTGAATTTATGGTTCTATGAGTTATATTTGATTGTCTAATGAGATATATTTCTTAATAGCAGTAGTAAAAAAATATTCAACGTTAGGTGAATATTTTATATGTTCTGATGTAGTATGAAAAAGCAAGAAAATCGCATGATACATGTGACTAGTCATGTTTTTTCAAAATTCATATGAAATTGTAGGTATTTCGAAATATTTGTAATCAACAAAAGTAACAGAGGAATAAGAATATGTTTGAAAATGTATAGTCTACTTACTTTCTTCCTTTACATCGTGAGGTTGCGGACATTGAAGCGATTCGTATTCTGTTCTGCCGAACGATGCACTGAAAATGGCTACCCTTTGTCCAGGGTAGCATACAAGATTGATGACATCATTCTCGCAGGCAACTTTACTTCTGAACTCGTCTAGAACAAGAAGAAAGTTCCTAATAAATTCAGTGTTCCCTTTTAAATTTTACTTTTGTATGAAATGTAATTAGACCGTCCCGTAGTACGAATTCTCAACGAGTTTGTCCAAGAATCTTGTTGGAAGAATATCAGCTCAAAAGCAATTAGCAAACCGAAGCTTACAAGATTTCTAGAGTTCACATTAAAATTCGAGTAGATTGTAAAATATGAGGNATAAACGTAACAGATATACAGAAAATAAAATAAGTATTTAAAAAAATCGTGATATATGCAAAATACTAGAATCTCCTTGTATTCTGACTTATCAAGTAACAGATCTGAAACAAAGTACTGCAAAGCATGAACTTTCAGGAAAGCTAGGAATTAGTCTAAACTGACAATAATATTCCCACTATCTATCATCCACGTGACAACTTTGAAGTATAGAAACCATCTTCGATCGAAGCACGTGACGCTATTTCTGTCTCAAGTATGAGAACTTCTATCGACGAAGTAGTCGGAGGATCAATTTATCATATGCATGATTAATGTTCGGATAATTGGCATTCAAGGTACATGCCAGTTTCGAACTCCATGCAAATGCTGTTAATAATTATATGGAGGGTATTCAGTGCATTGATTACGGAATGAAAGATGAAATTATCGAATCAATGTTGTTAGCAATAAAATCGATTAATCTGATATTACCCTCTCTCTTATTAAGTAACATTGTTTTGATTTATTAATGTTAAATTTCACTTGGTTAACGTATGATTAATTCCATAAATGAATGCGGCTATTTATACGCAAATATTATAAGCATACGTGTCGAATTCGAATATATGAATATTCATTCTGTGTAACTCGATGTATATTAGCATTGTTTGATGGAAAGGTAGTTTAGCAAGTTGCTGCTAAGCAAGCAGAATTTTGAACGCGCGTGAAATGAACCGACTTCGTCAACGCTCTTCTACAGTCGTCGAGTGTACTTATACGCTTGAGACAGAGTGTTGTGGCCTGCTTCATTGACATTGGCTCGCCGATTTACGCCGCTTTTGTCTCCCCGTCACCGCCTGTTTGAACTTCTGTTGCGACCAAAGGAAACGCCCCTATTGGGTTCGCAGAAAAAAAGGTACGACAGCTGCAAATAGCATTCCGATTTCGCTACCAGCGATTGTTGTGTAAAAGTCAATTCACCCTTGAAATTAGGCTATTATTACTTTTTACAAGAAACTGTCGTCGCGGCCACTAGCATAATTATTATCAATGATGTAAAATATAAATTTTGCAAAATGAGACATATAAAAATTTAAAAAATCTGTAACTTCCTAAAGCTG